CCGCAGCCCCCCCCACCCCGGAGGTCCCCTCCTCCGGCTTGCACCCCTCCACCTGCTGGAGCAAGATTTCCTGAGACTCAAGGCCAGGACACTTTTAAAAGTCTTCATTCCACCTTCATCGTTTGACTTTGGCTACATGTAGGTTACAGGCTGGAAGTAATTTTCATTCCAAATTGTGATGACGCCTCTTCCTTTCCCCCTGGTGTGTGGGGCCCTGGAGAGAAGTCGGAGGCTCCGGAGTCCTGACTGCGCCTGGAAGCTCTTCAGGGTTTCTTCCCCGTCTTCCTAGCATCAGCCTCACTCACGTGTGCCAGGTGCTGGAGACGGACCCCTGCTTCCAGGGCATTTCCTGAGGTCCCCTCCGTCAGACAGAGCCTCCCCGTGGCCCCGATGCGTAGCCCTCCTCTCCTGTTCTCCGCCCGTCCCTCTTTGCCCCTGCTTCCTGGAGATTCTCACGCTTTCTTTCAGTCCTTCTTTTAGTCTTTAAAAATATGCTGCTCTGACATCTTTGATTCCCAAGAACACTTCTTATGCCCTGAATGTTCTTGTTTTTTTAAATGTTTTATTTATTTCTAGGAGAGAGACAGAGAGAGAGACAGCGTGAGCAGGGGAGGGTCAGAGAGAGAGGGAGTCACAGACTGAAACAGGCTCCAGACTCCGAGCTGGCCGTCAGCACAGAGCCCGACGCAGGGCTCGAACCCACGAACCGCGAGACCATGACCTAAGCGAAAGTCGGACGCTTAACCGACTGAGCCACCCAGGCGCCCCCTGAATGTTCTTTTTTAAGACTCTTCTTGGTCTATGGATAGAATGTCTTCTCTCAATTTCCTGAAGACTTTGTGGTGTATTTTTTTCTCCGTCCGTCTGTGTGGGTGTCTGTTGTGTTAGAGCCTCTCCTCAAATGCTGGGTGACTCTCACCTGATTACATGTGAGACTAAAATGCTGGCCGGACCTCTCGTGCAGGGACAGGGCCTGCCGGCCACAGCACGTGGGTCCCTCCTCGGATGATCCCGGGGTGTCACGCGCAGCTCCCTGCTGGCGGACCTGTCGGTTTACGCTGGGCTGCGGCCTGGAGCCCTCCGCTGGTGGAGACAGAGCCACGGTGGGGAGGGGGCTCTTTGCAAACTCTTCCACGCAGTCTGTCTCCACTCCTACCCTGCACGTCCCGCCCCGGAGGCATCGGACGCTTTGGTTTTGAGCCTTGCACGGTGTCCGCAGCGGGAGTCTGCAGCAGGCCCCAGGGGCACCTTCCTGTCCCCACCCCACCTTCCTGCGGTCCCTACATGTGTTGCCTGGACCTTCCGCTTTCTGGCCGCAGAATTTTGTCTCCACCATGTGTCCACTTCAGTCCCGTCCCCCGCCAGCTCTCACATTCTTCATCAGTGCCATACACGATGTTGTTGGGATTTTATTCTTTAATGTTTATTTATTTTGAAAGAGACAGAGACAGTGTAAGCAGGGAAGGGGTAGAGAGAGAGGGAGAGACAGAATCCGAAGCAGCTCCAGGCTCTGAGCTGTCAGCACAGAGCCCGATGTGGGGCTCGAACTCAAACCGTGAGATCATGACCCGAGCCGAAGTCGGACGCTTAACGGATAAGTCACCCAGGTGCCCACCTTTGTTTGAATTTTTGAAGGGAGGGAAGGCAAATGTGTGTCCAGTCCACCGTGTGCACTGACGTCGCGCCTGCTTGTAATTGACGGCCGCCCCCTGCTGGAGCCGTGACTCACAGTTCACGCTTGTTCAGCTCTCTGCCTCCCTGACATTTGCACAACCACCAATACAGTGGAAGACCTCCTCGCCTGTGACACTGCGGCCTGGGTGTCCCCTTGGGGTCCCCAGCTCCCCTCCTGCTCCTCCGCGTCCGTCCCCCGCCTCCTCTGTCGGCACAGCCCTCGAGTGCCCTCATCTACACCCACGGCTTCTCGTCCTGCTGTCCTGTGATGACCCCCAACCTCCACCTCTGCCCCCACATCTAACTGGCTCCCCACGGAACGGACCCACAGCCGTGCTCAGCTCGGCCAGCCTCCCCGCACCCCGCCGTCCCCAGGCGCCGCACACCAGCGTGGACCCCACCAATGCCACATGCCTCCACCTTCATGGCCCTGTCTGAGCCACCTCCATGCTCAGAACACGATTTCCTGGACTTCTGCCATTAGAATTTACTCATGAGCCCAACGTACTGCTTGCTGGGCACCTGCCGGGCGTGCGGCCCAGGAGACACGCTGGGAAGACACAGCGCATGAGGCAGACACGAAAACACGCACTTTCAGCTCAGTGTGAGCTCTACTCTCACCCAGAACTGATGAGCCCCTTGATGTGACCTCTAGAACTGAGCCTTGAGAGGGTCTCTCCAAGCGGAGTCTGAAAGGTACACGCCGGGGGCAGGGGCGCGATCCGTGAGGTCCCGCTGGGACACGTGTGCACACGCCAGAGGGCGCCCTGGGTGCATGTGTGTAAGTGCCAGTACTTCGTGCGTGTGACCTTACTTGGATGCAGGGGCTTTGCAGGTGCAATCAGATTCCCCACCTGTATGGGTGGTGTCCCCACACCAACAAGACAGAAGAGCAGACACACACAGGGGACATCATGTGACAATGGGGGGGGGGATGTGTCTACATCAGACACGGAGAGGCAGGCGTGAGCACTCCCCCGGAGCCTCGGAGCCTCGGGGAGGGCACGGCCGCCACACCTCTTCCCTCCAGCTGTCACCTCTTTGGCATCTGGGAGGTTTTGTTCGTTGCATTTCATGTTTACATGAGTTTAAGCTCATTTAAGGGCACCGCCCTGTAAGCCATGTCTGATGGGCTTAGAGGCCCCAGTAAGTGAGCGTAGAATCCAGTAGAATCCAGAGAGGAACGAACGCGGAGAGCTGGAAAGCGGGCTAGGTTTCCGGGCCTCTGTCTTGAGGCAGTGAACTCAGAGACGGAGCCCGAGGAACGCACGCGTTTCCCCCACTATTTGGGGTACCACCTTGCCATTCGCCAACGCGGAATGTGGACGGGGCCATGGCTGTGCCTCGACGGCGCATCCAGGCATGCGCGTGCGGCCTCCTTACCTAGTTTCTTGTTCACATCGCTTTGAGACCTTCTTGTGGTCTTTTCAATCTCCTCCACAAGCCTCTGGCTTTCTGCCACCAGGCGCTCGGAGCGGGACCGCTGGGCCTCTGCTCGGTGGTACTGGCTCTTGTTAGCCACCTGCCACTCGGACGGCAGGAACTTGGGTGGAGGTTGCAGAAGTTTGGCCATCGCAGTGTCCCGAAGTCCTGACCACAAAGCACACACTTTTAGTTTCACGGAAAGCAACCTGTCCTTTCTTTGATGTCAGTTTGTATTAAAGTGTGACATACAGACCGAGAAGTGCCTGGGTCATAACCTGTACACACCTCACGCTCCCTCCGGGTCACTGCCCTTCACCTGCGCTCCCGGGGGGCAATCGCTGCGATGGCTCCACTCTGGAAATCAGCTTTGCTGTTTCTGAACCTAGTGCAGGTGGAATCACACAGCCAGGACCCCCGGCATCTGACCGCCCTCACTCAACGTTATGTTTATAAGAGTCACTTGGGTCGCTCCTATAGCTGTGGTCTGTTGAGTGGCTTGTTCAGGAGGCCGTGAACGCGCCACAGGTATCTGTCTTCCCTACTGTGTTTGGGTTAGGGGTTCCGGTGCAGGCTGTCAGGACAATGCCAGGAATATTCTCACACTGTCTTTTGGTGACCCCGGGCATGCACTGTTATAACTCATCAAAACGGCTGGACCCTGGGCAGTGTTCACTTCTAGTGGCTTCTGCCTACAGAGGAGCCCAGCCACGTTTCCTGGACAAGCCAACACCTGCGACATCTGTACCCTGACATCTGGGTCTGGAGCCTGCTGGGCAAGTGAAAGAAACAGACCCTCCGCAGGACAAAGAAAAGGGAGAAGGCGGCCTGCGGGGGCCAGAGCACCCCGACCCCCGCCACCTGCTCCGCACGCAGCACCCCCCCAACACCTGCCCGCGCACGCCCCTCGGGGCCCCGGACCTCCCACCCTCCCACAGCCCCCCGAGTCCGTCCGGGTGAGGGCTCGAAAAGCACCCCAAGAACTCAGTGCGTCCGAGCAGCCTCCGGGAGATGCACAGGTGGCCGGACGGGGTCGAGGGGAGCGTGGGCGCCCTGAACTCACCTGGGCGCCTCCCGGAACCACCGACCACAAGGACCACAGGGCTTACGGGCAGCGCCCTCACCCACCAGCTGCTCCTGGCTTCGCGGAACCCGCGGGTCAACGGCGCGTCTCCGCGGCAACCGGGGACGCGTGACCCAGGCCAAGGGGGCGGGGCTGCAGCCGGGGCTCTGCGCAGGCGCGGACCCTGGGGCCTCGCTGAGGCAGAGAGACGAGCCTGCGCCAGGTACCAGGCGGGGGACCGCGACCACAGCTCCGTGCCTGGGGACGGAGCCCTGCGCCTGGCCTGGCCCTGCCGCGGCGCCCCTGGTGCCCAGCCGGGTTGGGCCGGGACCCGGGGCCGCGGGAGAAGGCGCGAGGCCCGGGCGGCCGCGGCCCTGAGGGGGGGGTTGGGACGGGGGGCAGCTTGCCCGGCTGTGGGATGAGAGCACGCCCCCGGGACATGTGCGCGGGGCCCTATTACTGGTAACGCGCTAACAGAAGACAAACGAGTCACCTAGTCGGGGAGAAATGCGGACTGATCCTCGTCCACACAGCCCGAATCCCAGAAAATGAGCATTCAAATCTCCCGCCCAGGTGGCGGGCCGCGTCATCGCTTGACACCAGCCAATCGAAGGCAACCTCCAAGCATGATAACCAATCAGAGGAGGCTTTGCCTTGTGAAGCCCGCCCCCTGGTCTCGCGAGAGCCGTCGGCGCGTCCGGGCGCCCGCGAAGCGTCATGAATATTAAGCAGCCGCTGTCCAACGGCCTGTTGCATATTCATATCTCCGCCCCCGACGAGCGGCTGTTCGAGTCTGCGCTCTGCGGCCCGCGGGCGGGCGGGGGAACGGGTGCTCCCGCACGTGGGCGAGGGAAGGGGGCGGCGTCCCGGGAACTGGCCGGGCCCGAGGCCCCACCCTGGGGGCGCCCCCGGTTTGCAGACCCGGAGGCTTCCCAGAAACGCCGGAAAGCGGATAGAATGGGCAGAAGTACATGAAATGAGTCCTGAGTCATGATCGAAGGTCGTATCCGAACCGATCTGCAAAGTGACCCTCGCGCGCCCCCCCGGGTGGAGGGGGTCAGAGGCACCGGAGACCCTCACCGGGGGAACCGGCGGCGGGGGAAGTGGAAAGTGAAGCGGCCCCTCCGCCGGAGGTCCGCCCTCCTGAACTTGACCCTGCTGGATCCCTCGACGGGCTTGCAAAGAAGGAAAAGGGACTCTCCTTCAGCTATTTATTCTGGAGCTCCAATACAATTACAAGTATTTGAAAACATTTTCAAAAGAAACACCTTATTTTCCACGTGCAAGCCAGCAAAGAAATGAGCCCGATAGAGGCAGAGTGGAAGGGCTGATCACCGATGCTCGGCACCGACCTGGCACCCAGGGGCGGCCTGGGGCTCACTGGACCCTAAGGCACACGGCTTAGAACGTGTAACTTCGCCAGCATGCAACCAAAGCTTACAAAGTAGAATATCCAGGCAAGGTGCACTGAAACTTTACATGGTTTTGAGATTTTTGTTATTTGGAATAAAGCTATGTTTCCCAAACTCGAGTCATTCTGGTACCAGCTTCTTAAATTTTGGCCTTTCCGTGCACCACCCATAAAGTTATTTTGCTGTTTTCCTTCAAATACCTCCTTTTTACATGTAAACGTAATTATTTAATTCTTTTTTTTTTTAATGTTTATTTATTGCTGAGAGAGAGCACGAGCAGGGACGGGCAGAGAGAGAGGGAGACACAATCTGAAGCAGGCTTCGGAGCTCTCAGCACAGAGCCCGACGCGGGGCTTGAACTCACCAACTGTGAGATCATGACCTGAGCTGAAGTCGGCTGCTTAATGGATGGATCCACCCAGGCGCCCCAAGCATAATTGTTTTAAAAGGAGGCCTTATATCACCATCATAAAGGTAACATTGGTATCACTGGTATTATAGAAAGGAGAGTAGCCGTAAGTAATATTATGGTACATTTATGAATTCCAATTATCAAAAAACTAACATACCTCCAGACCTTAGAACACACAGGTTGCATTATTTTGTTGTTTCTCGTGATTACCTGCTCGGGGTCCATGCACATCCTGGCTCCTTTTGTTTCCAGGTACATTTCTGATGGCTTAGGTACGGCTTATAGTTCCAATCCTTCGAACTTTCTAACGCTCACTGCACATGGTGCTAGAATTCTCCTCCCCTTTATTTCATTTCTCAGGAAAGAATTTTGGGAAGCAATGTTGGTGGTTTTTAAATCTATGGGCTTACTTTTGGATTTTTGAGATGTCTTTTAAGAGAATCTGATTCTCGGAATCACAAGAAACTTGAAAGGTTGTTTGGTCCAATCTGATGTGGAAATGTCCTTTATAGCATCCGTACCAAATAGCTGCCCAGTGCTTGATGATGCCCAGGGATGGGGAGCTCATCACCTCGAAGGGAGTCCTTCTTGGGGCTGCTGTGCTGGAAAGTCCTTCTGAGGAGCTTCAGTAACATCATTTAGAGATTAAACCCTCCATTAAGAGCAACCTCGGGCTACATGGAGCCCCAGTTCCTCAGATTGCTCAAGGCTGAAGCCATCCTCGGACCGCCCTCAGGTCAGCTAATCAAAGAAACATCCCTGTGGTCTGAGTCAAGGCTGGGAACTGTAGACAGTTATTCTGTACAAACTAGCCAATTTCTCACCGCTTGCCCGAACCCCACGTGGGCCCTTTGAACTCACCTCATAATTGGTCATTTTCAAAGAATTCTCAAAAGTCGTGATTGGGTCCCACCAAAAGTAACGAACACCTCACAGATACTGAATGGTCAAAGTTGTTACCATGGGGGCTGCTGTACAATTGTAATCGGTGCTTATGTGATGATGCCATACGTACAACGTGTGCACTGTAACACCCCCGTCCCTGACCCCATAAAAACCCTGCTCGCTGTTGTTCGGGGCTTCACCTTCTGCCACGACACGGGTAGGCGGGTGAGTCCCTGCTCGAGCTTGTAATAAAGACCCTTTTGTACTTGCATCGGTGTTGGCTCCTTGGGGGTCTCAGGAGACTCGCGAATCAGGCACAACACTTCCAGTAGTTTCCATCCATGGATACGACCTTTATGTATTAAAATATATATATATGATGTTTATTTTTGAGAGAGGGAGCTCACGACCAGGGGAGGGGCAGAGAGAAAAGGAGGGACAGAGGGAATCCCAAGCAGACTCTGCTGTCAGCGCGGGTCTCGACCTCATGAACTGTGAGATCATGACCTGAGCCAAAATCAAGAGTCCGACGCTTAACCGACTGAGCCACCCAGGCACCTTTGTTCCTCATTTTTAATCTGAGAGAGAGGGCACCAAGTGACCCCAGAAGCCAAGCACTATATCTAAAAGTGTTTTTCATCAAGAAGGGTTTATGCAGGGGCGCCTGGGGGGCTCAGTCAGTTATGCGTCTGAGTTCAACTCAGGTCATGATCCCACGCTTCACTGAGTTCGAGCCCCACATCAGGCTCTCTGCTGTCAACACAAAGCCCACTTCAGATCCTCTGTCCCTCTCTGTCTCTCTGCCCCCCTCCCCTGTTCATTTACTCTCTCTCAAAAATACACATTAAAAATTTTTTTAGGGGCGCCCGGGTGGCTTAGTCGGTTAAGCGTCCGACTTTCGCTCAGGTCATGATCTCGCGGTTCGTGGGTTCGAGCCCCGCGTCGGGCTCTGTGCTGACTGCCAGCTCAGAGCCTGGAGCCTGTTTCAGAGTCTGTCACTCCCTCTCTCTCTGACCCTCCCCTGCTCACGCTGTCTCTCTCTCTCTCCTAGAAATAAATAAATAAAACATTTAAAAAAAATTTTTTTTAATTAAAAAAAGAAGGGTTTTGGGGCACCTGGGGGGCTCAGTTGGTTGAGCGTCCGACTTCGGCTCAGGTCATGACCTCACGGTTCGTGGGTTTGAGCCTCACGACATCAGGTTCTGTGCTGACAGCTCAGAGCCTGGAGCCTGTTTCGGATTCTGTGACTCCCTCTCTCTCTGACCCTCCCCTGCTCACGCTGTCTCTCTCTCTCTCTCTCTCTCTCTCTGAGAAATAAATAAAACATTAAAAAAAGAAGGGTTTATTCAGCAGAACTTTTATTTGTTTTAATGTTTTTTTAATTTATTTCTGGGAGAGAGAGAGAGCGTAAGCAGGGGAGGGTCAGAGAGAGAGGGAGACACAGAATCTGAAACAGGCTCCAGGCTCTGAGCTGTCAGGCACAGAGCCCGACGTGGGGCTCAAACCCATGAACCATGAGACCATGACCCAAGCCGAAGTCGGACGCTCAACCGACTGAGCCCCCAGGCGCCCCTATTCAGCAGAACTTTTAACCCCCAGGCCTGTGTGTGTCCATTCATATCAAATTGACCTAGTGAGACATATATGCCCCCCCCGCCCCCCCGTGCCAGGGAGGCTCGGGCCACCTGCCCGGGCACGTTCTCCTGTCACAACAGCACAGCCAATACTAGTGCAGGTGCGTTCAGGCTGCTGTTTGTCTGTGTACAAGGTCGACAGGGAATAAGAGGCATTGTGAGGACACTTACTCTGAAACCAAACATTTCTTCTTACAAGCTTTTGAGTCCGCTTTTGGCTGAAGAATATGTTGGGTTCACCAGCCTAGAAAATAAATGTCATTTGCTACCACTCATCTGCAGGATTTTCTCATTATTATACAGCTAACTGTTTTATTTTTTTTAATGTTTATGTATTTTTGAGAGAGTGTGAGTGGAGGAGGGGCAGAGGGAGGGAGAGAGAAGATCAGAAGCCGGCTCTGCACTGGCAGCACAGACCCGACGCGGGGCTCGAACTCACCAACCTCGAGATCATGACCTGAGCCGAAGTCGGATGCTCAAACCGGCCTAGCCACCCAGGCACCCCAGCTGTTTTATTTTTATTTTTTTTAATGTTTTATTTATTTCTAGGAGAGAGAGAGAGAGAGAGACAGCGTGAGCAGGAGAGGGTCAGAGAGAGAGGGAGTCACAGACTGAAACAGGCTCCAGGCTCAGAGCTGGCAGTCAGCACAGAGCCCGACGCGGGGCTCGAACCCACGAGCCGCGAGATCATGACCTAAGCAAAAGTCGGACGCTTAACCGACTAAGCCACCCAGGCGCCCCCACCCCAGCTGTTTTAAATAAGGAGAA